CTTCTCTATTTGATAACGTTAAAACTTTTGGGGGTGATCTCTCGCCTGTTGATACCTCTCTCATCCCTGCAAATTTGGACGATGTGGGCGAATTGTTAGTCTTGAACATGAGTGTGTGAGAGAAACCTACTCAATATTACCCTACAGTTTCCGCTAATTACACATACACAGCTGTGGTGAAAGGGAAGAATAGGGGGGCCCTCCATGGCAGTGGGGGGGGGGGAGAAAGTACAGGGCACTCCAGTTCGGTGCTGGGAGCTGAAGTGCATAAGTCTCGCTAATTCGCCTATACGAACATTACGAATCACGGACCTAGACTGTCGCGCCGTATAGCGTGTAGATGAACGTCGGCACTCCTAAGACTCACCCGTTAAAGATGAGAGTGTCTTAGACCCCAAAAACCTATATATTTTTACGTGAGGTAATGAGGTTACTTCAACGTTGTGTGAAATGTGTGTGTGTGTGTGTGTGTGTTGGGTGAAGCCTGTGATGGGTGCGGGGGAATTTAGCAATAATTTCTTGAGTGAACACACACACACACAAGCCAAGCCCCCACACACAGACAAGCCGTGCCGCCCACACACACAAGCCGTGGCCCCACAAAACACACAGACAAGCCGTGGCCCGCCCACACACAAGCCGTGCCCCACACACACACACAAGCCGTGGCCCCCACACACAGACAAGCCGTGGCCCCACACACACAAGCCGTGGCCCCACACACACACACAGACAAGCCGTGGCCCCCACACACACACAAGCCGTGGCCACCAAAACACACACAAGCCGTGGCCCACACACCACACAAGCCGTGGCCCCCACACACAACACAAGCCTTGGCCCCACACACACACAAGCCGTGGCCCCACACACACACAAGCCGTGGCCCCACATACACAGACAACCCGTGGCCCCACACAGACAAGCCGTGGCCCCACACACACAGACAAGCCGTGGCCCCACACACACAGACAAGCCGTGGCCCCACACACACAGACAAGCCGTGGCCCCACACACACACACAAGCCGTGGCCCCCACACACACACAAGCCGTGGCCCCCACACACAGACAAGCCGTGGCCCCACACACACAGACAAGCCGTGGCCCCACAGACAAAAACCCGTACTGAACCTCCCGAGCAAGAATTACCAGCCGTGAATTACCAACCTGTAGCACGGCGACCCAAAAGCGATCCTGATACGAGGTAAACGACGCTATAGAGAGGTCTAAAACCACCTCTTTCCCAGGCCTCTGTAGGCTGGAAAATCCTTTATACCTATATATATATATATATATATATATATATATATATATATATATATATATATATATATCGAACAAGCCTGAATATATATATATATATATATTATATATATATATATATATATATTATTAATTATTTAAAAGACACAAATATATAGCCAGAGAAGGCGAGAGAACCTCCTCTTCCTCCTATAAGGGAAGCAGAAGACCCTCTCTATCATTAGTGTAAGCCGATTCTTCCTTCATTTTACGGAATAATCTAATTTTCTGCTCCTTAGGACGAGTAGAGATGCTCACCTTCTTATCAATATTAAATCTCACGCTACTTTGTGCAAATTCGAGCGGGCTTTGGAGGTCATTTGTGTCCATGATAATGCTAAGCTTGTTTCCTGGAGACTTCCACTTGATATGTAAAGTACGAAGGGATATATATATATATATATATATATATATAGATATATATATATATATATATTATATATATATATATATATATATATATGTACCAGAGAATTGAAGACTGGAACCCCACTTAACTCAATTTATCACCGCTACGCCTTATTTCGTTCTGTCACAAAAGGCCCAAAATCCGCTGATTCTGCACACACACACACACACACACACACACACACACACACACACACACACACACACACACACACTCACGATAACCCCCGTCACGAGCCTCGAACGTTGACCTAGTCTTCTCAGGTGTTCGTGGAATCTTTCGTGACCTTCTAAGTGCGTGAATCATAAATAACCTTCTCTAGCGTCTCCTACTCTGAAGGAGGAGCTGCAGCAGCAGGAGGAAGAGAGTGGTAGCCGACACAAGCAAGCCAAGTTGAAACTCCTCTTACAAATGGCATGTAGTGTCACCCCTAATGGCATCGAGTCACACATCTGCATGGTAGAGAGAAGTTAGGGACGCTCTACTTCAAGATATTCTTGCTCTCTCTCCCCTCTCTCTCTCTCTCTCTCTCTCTCTCTCTCTCTCTCTCTCTCTCTCTCTCTCTCTCTCTCTCTCTCTCTCTCTCTCTCTCTCTCTCTCTCTCTCTCTCTCTCTCTCTCTCTCTCTCTCTCTTGAAAGTTTATTTAAAACCATAAACGAAAAACTTTGTCACAAAAACAAAGCGGAAGATGCGTCACATTTTTGAGAATTTAAATATATTTTTTTAAAGATATTTTAAGACTTTTCGAGTACGTCTGGCAAGACTTGTAGAGAGAACTGTTGAAAACTTTTGACGAGGACCAGAGAGAGAGAGACGATTGCTGCTCCTAGAAGCAACTGATGAGGTTCTATGAGTATTTATGAGGACCTGAGAGGCAAGGAATGAGTGTACTTAAGATTTTTGAGCAAGAACTGACGCGGCTTTGTGGCCCTGACCTACATATATATATATACCTGACTGCTGCACATATAAATATATGATCTTAAAACACACTGCTTTAAGTGACTCGAAACACAATCAGTTCATAAACTTTAAACTCTTTTACAGTGTTGAGCGTACGAAAGATCTCTACTTATTACGGTTATAGAGGCGTAGTGCTGTTAGAGCACCTATAACTGGAGTTATAGAGCTCTTAGAGCTGTTAGAGTACCATATAACTGAAGTGAAAGTGTTAAGAGGCATAGAGCTGTGTGAGCACCACAGTACTGAATCTAATGATTAACAGCGCCGTTAGAACACAACCGAAATAGTTATAGAGGCGCAGCTCTCTTTCTCTCTATTAGAGCATCACAAGAGTGAGTGGCGTCGGGGACCATAACTTCGCAGCTGCAATTAAGATAAAGCTAAATACCGAGTTTACCCAGTTTACCCAGATTACCCAGTTTACAGAGTATTATTCATCAAGGAGACTCGTCAGCAAAAGGGGAAAGATGGGGGAGCTGTTATAGCTCCAGTTTACAGTTTACTCCAGTTTACTGTTGCCATTAAATAGGGGGTATACCTTTTATGGGGAGATTTTGATTTGATTGAGGCTCGTGTCCCCCCCCCCCCCTAGTGAATGATAGACGCCCATAGCGATCGTCATTTGTCTGTGTGTGTGCGTGTGAACTTGCCTATTTGGGCCTGTAGGGTTGGGTGTTAGCTCTTGGACCCCCGCTATGCACGGGTTGAGTGTTGTACGTGCTGCACGGCCTCTACAGCACGTACCAAAACGTTATACACACAACACACACCAACACACACACACACACACACACACACACACACACACACACACACACACACACACACACATATACACGCTCAATGCACGTCCCTAATAGCAAAAATGCTATAATTATATGTATTAATAAACCTATAATGTGATTATTCTGTTCGACCGGGCCATTATAGAGGTGAGTATTGGACGCGCGTCATTAATAATTAATAGTTATACATATATTTTTTTTAGAAATATAATATGATATGAACAAATCCACAAGGGCCGTGATGAGGATTCGAACCTGCGTCCGAGAGCATCCCAGACGCTGCCTTAATCGACTGAGCATGGTCAAAAGAGTTGAAACCGAAGTTGTACTGAACTTACTGGATCCTGCAGCCTCTCCGAGACACAAACCAGGATTTTACACAACTCTCCCCCCATGCACTCGAGCTATATCAATAGGCCATTCTCCGTCTTCGCCCTTACTTCATTCGCAGGTTCGAATCCTCGTCACGGCCCTTGTGGATTTGTTCAGTTGTTATTCAATCAGGTTATTGTGATTTCTATGTGTAATAATGGGATACGATTTGTGTTATGTACGCAGCTGATATCTCGGATTGGTAGAAGTAATATGTACGTGATGAAGAGATGAATTAAAAATAAATAGAATAATAATAAAAAAAATAATTAATAATGATAATAAACAATAATAATTCAAATAATAAGAACCAACTCAACGTCAGGAAGGTTTAAATAAGGCAAAAATAAAAAAATATTGATATCATATGAAATGTGAGAGAAAATGGTGGGATAAATGGTAAATAAAATGGCTAACTAACCTAAAGTTTACGTAAACACATACCCAAAGGTACATTATGTAAATATAATTTAATAAAGTTATGACATAACGAGGACACTATACAAATGGAGTGACAGAAATTTGACTTGAATTTTTCAATCATACAAAATCGTACTGTTAAACTTGATCATGATTCGAAACGCAGCAACACACACACACACACACACACACACACACACACACACACACACACACACACACACACACACACACACACACACACACACACACCACACACACACACAAACAACACACACACACACACACACACATACACACACAGACACACAGACACACACACACACACACACACACACACACACACACACACACACACACACACACACACACACACACACAAGCTAAGCGACACCAAACACGCTAGCAAGCTATAGAGAGAGATAACTCCTCTGATAACGGAATAAGGCAATTAAGAGACGAATGCCCCCACCATGATTCAGCACAGATACACATAGATGAATGCCTCTGATAATTAAGAGATAAATGACAGCGATGATAACTACGCTGCCATATATATAACTGGCACTGCAAACTACCTATAACTACAGCGCCGAGTGCCACAGAACAATGGAGCAAATCCCTGTAAACAAGGGGCACTAACAACTCGATGAATTTAGAGGGAAACAAAGGATGTAAAACATAGACGCGTTACAAACATGTATGGCACTAATATCAGTTTAAACTGTAATGACTGTTGGCACTTACCATGGCACTGGTGAGGGCCACCAGGAGCCCTAGCACCAACCACACAAGCTCCATTACGTTGCCTGTAAAGGAGAAAAAGGAATTTTTTTTCAGTAACATGTTAAAAGGTAATGACGAGGCGAACGCTCTAAGACAAAATAGCAACTTAACGCTTGGAATGGATAGGGCGGTGGGGGAATGTTGCCCAAACACTTGGACCGTTGGGGATCGAACGCCGACCTGCAATACACGAGGAAGTTTAAATAGAATATATTGTTAAGCACGGAAAGTGGATTACAAACACAGGGTAAAGCCTGTTTGAACAAAGGCATTGGTTCTACTCAACTGTGGGTGTTGGTAGTGGTAGTAATTATCGTCCAAAAACACACATACACAAAGAAATAAACAAACAACACATACACACACACGTATGCACTCCAGTACGTTGTTATTTTACTGTGTATATTAGGGACCTGGCCCTCCAGTATCGTCCACGTGTATATTATTTGGTATCTCTCTCGTCTCCTTTCTAGTGGGTACATTTAGAGAGCTTTGAGACGATCCCAATAACTTAGGTGCTTTATCGCGCCTACATAGCCAACCACAATTACCCAACCACAAATGCCCAACCAAGCATTAATGCCCAGCCAATCCTAAATGTCTAATCAACCATACATGCTCAGCCAATTCTAAATATCCAACCAAGCATAAATTCTTAACCAACCCGAAATGCCCAGTTATTGACACGAATACCCAGCCAACTACAAATACCCAATCAAACCCAAATACCCCAGCATGCTGGGTACTTGCTACCCAACTCATCACGGTCGTAACCTCACAACCACTCAACCTATTGTTACCTTTAAACCCCTTTTTTGCTCCCGACATCAAAGGTGATTAATATGCAAATCAGAGCAGATCCCTAATGACCATTCGCTCTTCAGGGCTTCAATTGAATTACTGCTTATTACTGCCAGGCTGGAGTTGCTCTCTCCTAAAGATTTCTCTTCGGCGGGAGGTGGCGCATGCAACTGTGTTTTCGCCTTCTTGTTAAAAAGTGGTTAGGACAAATTCGAATTCGAGAGGATTATTATTGTGTCAACAAACAACAATAATTTTGTTTAATAATTAAATAATTTTGTTTAATAATTAAATAATTTTGTTTAATAATTAAATAATTTTGTTTAATAATTAAATAATTTTGTTTAATAATTATTTTGTTTAATAATTAAATAATTTTGTTTTAATAATTAAATAATTTTGTTTAATAATTAAATAATTTTTTAATTTAATAAAATAAATTTTGTTTAATAATTATATAATTTTTTAATTTAATAATAATAATTATATAATTTTGTTTAATAATTTAATAATTTTGTTTAATAATTAAATAATTTTGTTTAATAATTAAATAATTTTGTTTAATATTAAATAATTTTGTTTAATAATTAAATAATTTTGTTTAATAATTATAATAATTTTGTTTAATAATTATATAATTTTGTTTAATAATTAAATAATTTTGTTTAATAAATAATTTTGTTTAATAATTATATAATTTTGTTTAATAATTATATAATTTTGTTTAATAATTATATAATTTTGTTTTAATAATTTTATAATTTTGTTTAATAATTAAATAATTTTGTTTAATAAATAATTTTGTTTAATAATTATATAATTTTGTTTAATAATTATAAAATTTTGTTTAATAATTAATTAATTTTGTTTAATAATTTTATAATTTTGTTTAATAATTAAATAATTTTGTTTAATAAATAATTTTGTTTAATAATTATATAATTTTGTTTAATAATTATATAATTTTGTTTAATAATTAAATAATTTTGTTTAATAATTTTATAATTTTGTTTAATAATTAAATAATTTTGTTTAATAAATAATTTTGTTTAATAATTAAATGATTTTGTTTAATAATTAAATAATTTTGTTTAATAATTAAATAATTTTGTTCGTCCTTCAGTTGATGTCGATGTCCTTCAGTTCTGGGAGCCAGATATCACAATAGTGTGATGCATCAAATGAACAAATCCACTAGGGCCGTGATGTGGGTTCGAAATCTTTTCCATGTCGCAGCACAGTCGATTAAGGCAGCGTCTGGGATCCTCTCGGACGTAGGTTCGAACCCTCATTACGGCCCTTGTGGATTTGTTTATACTCCATGTATACTGTACTAACTTACTGATCACAAACGCATGGAGGGTAGAAATAGCCCTTTAGTGATCTTCGTGTCACAATAAACGTATTTGAACTTGAATTGGCTTGCATACTTAGTTGATCACATCCGGACGTTATTGAAGGTCTTATCTATCGTGAGGTATCTTAATGTGTCTGGTCTCCTCTAACCCAGCGTCATCACTTTGCACCTGTTTCAGTTCAATTCTTGCTGCCACTAGTGCATATAGGCGAGTGGGAAGTCACATCGATGTTCAAATAGGATTGAACACCAGTGTTTTAAGTCCTGCCTCTCAAACATCTGTAGATCTATATAACTTATTCCTTTCGTACACCCTTTCGTGCCTCTTCTACACCTTTTCGTGCCTCTTGTACTCCTTTTCGTGCCTCTTGTACTCCTTTTCGTGCCTCTTGTACTCCTTTTCGTGCCTCTTGTACTCCTTTTCGTGCCTCTTGTACTCCTTTTCGTACCTCTTCTACACCTTTTCGTGCCTCTTGTACTCCTTTTCGTGCTTCTTCAGCACCTTTTAGTTTAGGGCTTATATGTGATGAGAGGTCGCTGTACATTAATAATAGAAGGAGCTCCAGTGTTGGCCCTTCAGGCACTCCTCTCATTACTTCTCTGCACTTTTGATATATCTCTTCTCTCACTGTGATCCGGAGCCTCATACCCTCAGCCACACAGAGACTCTCAACCTCACACTCACACACACACACACTCACCAACACACCCTCACCGACACACTCACACACACACCCTCACACACACACCCTCACCAACACACTCACACACACACACTCACACACACACCCTCACTAACACACACACACACACACCCTCACTAACACACTCACACACACACACCCTCACCAACACACTAACACACACACCCTCACCAACACACTGACTCACACACTCTCATCTTCCCTAGCGACACACCTCGCTGCCAACCCACACTGACCTTTTGTGCATATAAGTATATAAAAGTGCTTGCAAAATTCCAGGCATTTTGCATACATATGCATAAAACGCACATAAAAAAACCGGCCCAATGACCGTACCGAAAAATTACGTACTCAACCATTCACACTGGTTGTGCCCGTACTAGCTAACACAAACAGTTTGGTCGGTTGAGAGGCGGACACAAGGCGCCTTAAGGCACAAAAATATAAACTACGGAAGGCCTATGAGCCCCATACAAGGCAGTTGCTATTTATATCCAAACTCTTCATTCGACTGGAGGGTCGAATCATGGATCCCAGGCGTGTAAGGTCGAAGCTCTACCGACCGTGCTATTGAGTAGTCTTAATAGGAAAACTTTCCAGAAAGATGGAGTGGTGAATGGAATGTTTATTTCCACGGAAGTGTGGATAACAATTTATATTAAAACTCATTCGTATATATATATATATGTCTAGCCTACGCTTGAAACAATCAAATGCTATCCACATCTATTGCAGCGGCCAATGGTCCTCTCTCTCTCTCATGGTGGGGGGGTACTGGTTACCTTGAGGTTACCTTGAGGTGCTTCCGGGGCTTAGCGTCCCCGCGGCCCGGTCGTCGACCAGGCCTCCTGGTTGCCGGACTGATCAACCAGGCTGTTGGACGCGGCTGCTCGCAGCCTGACGTACGAGTCACAGCCTGGTTGATCAGGTATCCTTTGGAGGTGCTTATCCAGTTCTCTCTTGAACACTGTGAGGAGTCGGCCAGTTATGCCACTGGTGGTGGTAAATGCAAAAAAAAAAAAAAATGCACACCTTAATCCTGGGTATTAGGAGGGTATGCCGCTTGGGAACGGACGGAGTTTGGGGCATCTTTTCTGCCCGGTTATCGTGCAGCCCGCTCCTCATACTCTCGTAATTACTTCACTACGTTTTCTGGAGTGTGGGGCGGGCCGCATACTGCTCTGATTTATGATGATGGGGAACCAGGCCACATACTCTGCTGTAGACGGGCCTCGGAGGAAACAGTGGTGGTAGTGGTAGTGGTGGTAGTGGTAGTGGTGGTGGTAGCGGTGGTGGTGGTAGTGGTGGTGGTGGTAGTGGTGGTGGTGGTGGTGGTGGTAGTGGTGGTGGTAGTGGTGGTGGTAGTGGTAGTGGTAGTGGTAGTGGTGGTAGTGGTAGTGGTGGTGGTGGTGGTGGTAGTGGTGGTAGTGGTGGTGGTGGTAGTGGTAGTGGTGGTAGTGGTAGTGGTGGTAGTGGAGATAGTGGTGGTGATGATAACCGACTAAAAACACACCAGACTAGTGAGTCAACAAGACGCCACAAACGTACAAAATCCAACCTCCTAAGCTAACCAGAAGCGTTCGGACCCAACCAACCTACCTAACCTCTCACTCCAATACAGAGAAAACGGGAGATATTCATAACCCGGTACTTTTCATACCATTTCGTACGCTGGAGACCATAACGTACAGAATGCGACGTATTAGTTTTTTTTTTTTTGGTCATTACTCTCTGGAACCCGTCACCCGTCTCCCACACCCGTCATCTATATCCATCAACCGTCATCTGTCTCTATAATACCAAAATTCTCTACTCTAAAAACTCAACACATTTCCATAGAAAATCCGGAAAAAAAGTCTTCTCTGTACAAGAGAAAGCCTAAAAGTCTCACGCAAAACTTATAATAATTTGTCTTGGCTTCGTGAAAGGAAAGTCAAGAATTCTTGTGCTTTCGGTCTCAAGAGTTTAAAAGTACTTACTCACTTCTTCTTCTACATGATTAATACAAAAATGCATAAGCCCTCAGCGTCAAGTTTATTTGGTTTGAAACTTAAGTTTCAAGTTAGACTAAACACATCGTGTATCCAGAATGATTTATAACAGCCCATCCTCCTATTTTGGTTGTTATAGTAAAGATGAGGACCATAGTACATATACCGAC